TACAACTCTTGCGGTGTGCGGTCGTGCATTATCATGCATTAACTGAAATAAGGGACCGATTTGCACTTGTAGAGGAACGATGACGTCTGATACAATCGTCTCAGCATAAATTTGAGCGTTGAGGTTGCCTCTGATCCAAATCAACTCAGTTCTTCCGCCGATCCAAATACCCGCCCATACCATGATGGTTCCACCACTATAAGGATGGACTTCCTGGCAGGATTTTAATCGCTGTTGGCGTCCAGGGGTTCTCCAGTGTCGTATACGTCTTGTATCCGGTCTCATACCAAAACGAGACTCATCAGAAAAGCACACGAAACGCCATTGTTTTTCTGCCCAATTTCTGTGTTCAAGAGCCCATTGATATCGAATCCTACGATTGTGCATTGCTATAGGTGGTACCCGTAGCGGTCTTCGGGAATGAAGGTTCACTTCATGCAAGCGGTTTCTGACTGTTTGGTCGCTAATTAAGTTCCCTGAAGAGTGATGAAGCCTCACGGCTAACATCATGGCGGTTATTGTTGGAGCTCTTCGAGTTAAGATTTGAATGTATCGGTCTTGTCTCCGTGTGGTGCAGCGATACCGTCCTCCATGGCGCTCAGCCACGGTACCAGTGCTTCGGTATCGTGTCCAAAGTCGACTGATAACACTCTGACTTGTATTCAGAGCTAAAGCCACAGTACGTTGCCGGGAACCAGCTTCTATCATTCCCACGGCTCTGAGCATTTCTTCCCTGCTTAAATGACGTCGCCGCTCCATAATAACGTTGGTTTTAATCAGTAGTAGGGAAACAGTAGCACTAATAATGTCTTCAATGCGTTGTATGTTTTTATAGGGAAAATATTGACAGCTGATTTTCATCTTTTACTCGAATTTGATTCACAGTTCCTGATTCAAATTATGAAATGCACCAAAAAGGATCCATATAAATTTATAAAATCATAAATTTATTACAAAGCCACATCTCAATCTCAAGAAATCCGCATAAAAATGCTTGATCCCTAGACACTTTTGATGTGTGTATATTCTATATATATATATATATATTTATATATGTACTTTCCTCCCTCTACTTGTCTCGTCTTTAAGTTCGCGATCATCTCAAACATAATTAGCGAGATTTTCATGCGGTTTATAATCAGTAAGATAATTGAGGCCATGAGAACCATAGTGGTTTAAATATGGTTAAACTCAATATTGTAAATAAATGAGTTTATGATTTTTTCCAGTTCAAACTGATCATTTTGATGGAACCAGAGTGATCTTAAAGTAATACAACGTATATTCACTAGATGGCAGCATAATCACTGTTACGGTTTTTAGTCTGTGATCTAAATTTGAGGTGCCATACTGGCCTAAGTGCCACTATGGTTAAAAAATGAGTTAGGCCACTAAGGTTCTCATGGCTTCAATTTATCACGGCAGTTATTTAAGTATAATATAAGCCCGAGAACATAAAATTAAAAAAATAGGTATAATTTTTAATTTTTGAGTATGTAACTAACTGCTCGATGTTTAAATCTAAAGAAAATACTGCTAGAAAAATTCCACGCGGACCAAGCAGCAGACGGGACTCGAACCCGCACCCTTGGCTATCCGGGCGAATGCACTGACCATTATGCTACCGCGGCCCTGATGGCCGTGTCGAATTCTTTCTAGCCTTTCTTAAGCTGCAAGGCGCCATCTCTTCGCATTGTAGGTGACTCTCGCCTGTTCCGCGTGGAAGATTTTCTAGTAATATTTTGCTTTAGATTTAAATATAAGTATGGCTTTTATAAGAAATAACTCATCCCATGAAGGCCTTAAACTAGGTACATTCGAAAAAAAGTCATTAGGGAAATTGTTTCCCTAATTGTTTAGGGACAAAGACGAAAACAAAAATCTGCTCCAACTTTTTGTTTTCGTGTTAGAAAAATTTTGAAAAGTTTCACAATAAATTATTCACTCTGTCCAGCCGGCATATTCGTTTACGTTTTGATATTTACAGCGTGTAACTAAAGAGAAAATTGCATATCCACCGATGCTTTTCAAAACAAGTATGTTAGTGGCGTTATAATAAATCAGTAATGGATTACTAAACAGCTCTGTGAGTATCACAGCTTCCATCTGTCAAAGGCAGTCGGCGAATGGACCTAGGTGTAACGCAGAAATTCAGGATTCCTTTCGCCATCCAGACTGAAGCAATAACCGCATTTTTAAGTTTATTTAATTTAAGAAACCAAAAGTCCTACTATGCTACAAATATTATAAACGTGAATGCTTCTATGTTGGTTATACTCAATCATTATCATCATCATCAGCCTATTAATGCCCCCACTGCTGGGACACAGGCCTCCCCTATGGATGGAATAGGGAGATTGGGCCACGACTAGGGTTACTATTTAAAAGTCAATTTGAAAAGTCCTGACAAAAAGCCGCACATTTCGATAAAAGGCCGGACATTTTAGTTACAAAATGCAAACATCACCCACTTAGTTACATTTTATATTAAACGCGTGGTAGCAGACGCTCGCATCGCGAGAGGGGTTGATCGTTGATTGTTAAAGATGATTTATATTTTGTTTTAAATTAATGAGAACTTAATAAAGATTATTGGAGTTTACTCCTTAAGAATCGATTTGCATATATAAGGGGCCCGGTATGAGAAAAATGTGAGGAGTAAAATCTATCGATGAATGACATTAGTGACCTCCTTACGTTTTTGTGCGCAACCTCATCTGCGCACCTTTCACTTTTAGCCATGGCAACGGATAAAAAACATTAAGTTGTCACAAATGTCAATAAAATAAATAAACTAAAAATAGATAAAATCGGAGCAAAATTAATGAAAACAAATAAATAACACAATATAGAGAAATGCCGGTAAGTGTCCAGCACTCTGGAATAGAGATTTTCAGTACAGATGGAATTATAATACATATTTACAAAATGATGACTAGTGTGTAATATTTTTGAAATTGTGTGTTTCCAGGAATACATAATAAAATATATGATGAATATCGCTGATGTTAGATGATAAAATGTGTGACATGGAACCTATGATAGTCGAAACCATGGGACGATTCCTGAGGTATCTCTACTTGTAACCGACTTCTTCGGACTTGATTTTGTTTTGTGTCTGTTCAAAGACAATCGTTTTTTGACTTATTTGATATAACTTAATAAGTAGTTTTACTCATATTCCACCTAATTAAAAAAATCCGGACATATTAAAAAGCCAGTCAAAATCCGGACAAATCCGGACGGATGATGACCCTAGCCACAACCCACCACGCGGGTCCAGTACGGATTGGTGGGTGCTAACGACTGCAGATGCAGCCGGGACCAACGGCTTAACGTGCCTCCCGAAGCACGGAGGAGCTAGAGTTAGTAAATTTTTGGTCACCCATCCAATGACCGACCACTGCGAAAGTTGCTTAGCTTCAACGATTGCATCCGAACGCGCTAACTACTAGAGCCATCGAGCTCCTCATACTCAATCACGCGAAAGTAATGACGGACCTGTTAATCCCGGAAAATGTTAGGTTCCCATAGGTTTCTTAAAAAGCTACAAGTTAACGCGGACGAAGTCGCAGGCGGCTGCTAGTGTGAAATATTTGTACTTATTTCTTACCTGTTGTTAATAAACGCAACAGGAAGTCTTTCTCTCTCTGTTACGTTTTGAAGCTTAAACCACTGAATTGAGATTGATGATGTTTTTTATAGAGATAAATTGAACCTTGGACAGGACAAGACGAAGGTTACTTTTTCGCGAAAGTACTTTAATGGACAGTTTTTTTCAGATTGGAAGGGAGTGAGTGATACAGGGAAAATTCGGGATAGGAATGACAGAAATGTCATTGTCAAATGTGTACTGATTTTTAGTTTTCGTTACATTCTTTATGGCGCTGCTGTTCAGGTTTCCATACAAAATTTGACAATGACATTTCGGACTCGCAAACTATTCGAATTCGATATTGGTTGGTGCTAGGGATACTGATTTGCCGACGACTATACTTAATAAAAGTATTCAGTTGGTAGTAGTATTCTTTCTTTAAAAATTTTGGCATACCACCAATCACATTAAACCTGCATTGCAGGGATATATTAAATGAATTGTTAATCCAATCATTCCGCTATGCATTTTGCGTTCACGGTTCTAGGGTAACCATTTTAATTAATCTCTTTCTAATAATATTAATTTCTAATAATTATTAATAAACAGAGAATAGATTCCATGTTTTGTCTTTGTCCGTCGAATGACAAACGGTATTTCAGTGATATGAACAAAACATAGCGTAAATAGTCACAGCTTATTTTTTTTGAAAGAAAGAAAGAAATTTTATTTGTAATAACATGTGTTAGAAAGATATTCAGTGATAATTAGCTAAGTACATAACATGTTGTGCCAATATCGGCATACAAATTAATTATTATTTATATTCATAATTATTATTCTAAGATTCAAATTACAAAAATCAATAACAATAAAAAATTACAATAAATTGGGCAAACACTTCAAAATATCAGTTTCTGCCCAATTTAATAATAAATTGAATTGGACAGAAACTGTTCATACATGTCAATACTGTCAATTCAATAATTAAATGTCAATAAAATTGGGCAACTAAACAAAATGTCAACACGATAAAATGTCAATGAAATAACAAAATGTCAATAAATTGGGCAAATACTTTAAATAATATGTCAATTATTACTTATTTATTAATAAGATTGCTATTAAATCGAATAGAGTGCACCTTAAATGAGTTATTAGCTTATTCATTAAAGCGTTAGAATTTGCGATAATGTATGAAATTTTAGGAATAACACATACTTATTATTTATGAGAATTTAAGATTTAATAGAAAATTGTACTAATTGTACATTTCAGAGTCTATAAACATACTGTTAAGTTTCTATACTGTGGTACTACTTTATTTAATGAAACTTTACAAGTAAATGAAAGCATGCTTATAATTTTAGTTCTTTATTAATACTTTTTATTTTGATTGTTTCAGGTGCATCATCATGGATACTTCGTATGGGGACTAAATAACCTACACCTTTTAAATCTCGATTTACCGTAATGTTATTTGCTTAAAAAGAGTGCAATAGTAGCTAACTCATATGCACAGAGACGCTTCCAACGTCTTCAGAGATTCCTTAAAACTGCGTCAAAAATTACTTTTAAGGACAACAACATACTTTAAAGTAGCAGAATTCGTAAAAAAAGACGCCATCCGGTACTTCACGTATGATTACGAAATACATCAAACTTAGTATTACCATTAAATATTATGAACATATTCATAGGTAACAATTACCATTCTAAAAATCTCGTCAAGCTGAAGACTTGCTTTTAAAAGAAATTAAATAATTATACGAATAGACAATAAATAAATTATTCTAATAAAAAATTTAATAGAATCGTTGTTAAAAAAAAATACTTTAAAATACTTAATTTAAAAAAGTTTCGTATTAGCACTTTCGATAGCCGCTTTAAAAGCACGATAGATTAAATTTTAAGAAACATAAAATACTCTTTAGAGTTAAGATTTTAGTGAAAAAATAAAAAAGTCAAATTTGAGCGGGAGAAATAAAAGATGGCGGCGAAAGCGGAGCCGGTTGGTCCGCGGAACGGCCACGAGTTGGCGCCACTGAACACGCGCGCTGACGGCACCGAGAGACCGCACGGGGTCACCATCGTGCTGCAGGGCTCCAGGGGCTCGCTGCAACGAGAGCTGCCGGATGAAGACCGCGCCGCGTGGTCAGGGAAGCTGCAGTTCTTCTTGTCCATCATCGGATATTCCGTGGGCCTCGGAAACATTTGGCGCTTCCCGTATTTATGCCAGCAGAATGGTGGCGGTACGTGTTAAGATATATTGTTATACTAGCTGACCCGGCGAACTTTGTACCGCCTTAGCGTAGCTTTGATGCACTACTTTATTTTGTCACAGATTACCACAGATTTTTTTGTTTTAAATTGAATGACGTTGACATTTGTCAGCGCGGTTGTCGATGTGGTGTCACAGATTACCACAGATTTTTTGTTTTAAATTGAATGATGTTGACATTCGTTACGTTATATTTTTCAATCTTTCTGAGAGATTTTCTTTATATTTTTTTCCGTAAGAACCTTGTACAGAGTATTAGAAAACTACAAAAAAAATCAGACAAATCGGTCAAGCCGTTTTCATGTTATGTCGTGACAACGGAAAACGGGTTTCATCTTTATATATAGATACATGTAGATGTTAAACTTAAGTACACTATATACTCTGTGGTTGTATATTCCTTTGCTTTAGTTTTTATGGAAAAAGAGTGTAAAGGTTTGTCTATGAAGGAAGTAAGTTATGTTGGTCTATCTCACTCTTTGCCTAACCTATAAGATGTGACTGTCGTCCCCTTTTTCCACCTTGTGCTCTGGAACAATAAAACGTGTGCGGCCATCATACAATTTTTCATTAACCATCAATATAACAATCCCACACTGCTGCATTCGATCCAGGCCCTGTTGAACAGTACGTTTGTAAACTCAATGTTTTTCATCATCATCAGCCTATTAATGTCCCCACTGGTGGGGCACAGGCCCTATGGATGGAATAGGGAGATTGGGCCATGACCCACCACGCGGGCCCAGTGCGGATTGGTGGGTGCTAACGACTGCAGATGCAGCCGGGACTAACGGCTTAACGTGCCTTCCGAAGCACGGGGGAGCTCGAGATAGCAATTTTTGGTCACCCATCCAAAGACCGACCATTTTTTTTTTATTGTTGGAAAAATGCGTTACGCATACCCCGCCCCGGTTGAGTGGCAGGGTTATGTGGGACTCCTCCTCCCCCCAAATCCCGCCCACCCGCCTAGCCAGACTGCCTGGCTCGGCGGCTGCTCCCTCGTCTGCCGAAACGGGTTTTGTGGGATCCGGATGACGCTCCACGTTACCCCGGCAGTAATTCCTCCTCCTCCTGGTGGTCAGGGGGATGCCCGGGAGCACCTAGGCATCCCCCCTCGACGGGTGAGACTGTGCAATGCGAGCGACGGACCACCCTGTCCGCCGCCCGCAGTCCCACTAGGGTGGAAAGAGGCGGTCGTACTGCCGCCGCCTTCTCCCCGGTCGTCGGCGACGGAGAGGGCCGGCCCGAGCGTCCCCCTCGCGGGCCCTCACCGCTGTCTCCTTCTGTAGGATAACTTCCTCACAGAAGGAGACGACCGCGTTCCAGGATCTGCCGCTGTCCAGCATCGCTTTTACGACGCTGGGCAACGAGAGATCCCTATCCAAAGACAAAAAAATGGTTGCCTGTAAAGTCGGTTTTACGGGCGAAGATTTTACGTGACAACGTCTTTTTCTCGGTAGAATATTTATTGATATGAATATAATTAAATTGCACAATAGGAACAAGGAATTGAATGAAAATAAGAATTGCACAAATTTTAACTATAGAAATATATTTTGTTTACTAAAACATTGTACATGTAAACTTAAACTTAACACGAGAGACTCATCGTAACGTTACCGAGCGTTACACTTTTTCATAAGTGACTCCCAGCCGCAACCTAATTTAAGACGTTGTCACGTCAAAATGACTGCAGATGCAGCCGAGACCAACGGCTTAAATAGCCTTCCAATGAACGGAGGAGTTCGAGATAGTAAATTTTTGGTCACGCATCCAATGACCGACCACTGTGAAAGTTGCTTAATTTCAACGATCGCAACCGAACGCGCTAACCACTTGCGCCATCTAGCTCGTCGATTTTGTGCCAATGTTTTTACGGGGTCTATTTCCTTTAGCATTTGTCCCATCGCCGACGATGAACAAGAAGCGAGTAGAACTAGAGACGAGTTAGCGAGCAGCGGAAAGCGGGTGTGTAGCTCTAATAGTTTTATCACTGGACTTTAAGCGAGTGCGCGATATAACGGGCGATTAGTCGCGCCACTCGCTCGCGGAGACAATACAAAGCAAGAATGCACGCGCGCGCGTTTTGGGATAACCGGGCATCTCTGAGCCACAGTATCACTGGGTGGGTATTATATTCATAGCCATTGTCGCTCAGCGACAAACTAGTGGAGAGAGTGCTCGCAAGCAGTTTGAACAGTCAGTGATCGACTGTAATTATGTCTGTTGTTTACACGGAATGTTTATCTAATGTAAGTACGTTTCTTGAACGAGAAAATAGCCGATAGCTAGTCGCTTCCTCGCCGGCGGCGGTGAGACAAACTGTCTTTTCCATCCATCTAATATTAAGTGCTTACTAGCGAAACTTTGCCAAACTTAAGCCCGCCTCTTGGAAATCCGGCCACCTTATACACTGCAAAAATTAAAACTATAAAATATTTGCATTTGGTTGCAGTTTTCTGTAAAGATGTGTCTGAAACATAGCACTCGGTGGCATCCAATTAGGATTTTTTCCCAAACAACTTTATAACAAACTAGCGGCCGCCCGCGACTTCGTCCGCGTTAACTTTTAGTTTTTTTTTCTAAAATAATAGTAGCCTAAGTTACTCCTTATTGCATCAGCTACTTGCCAATAAAAGTCCGGGCAAAATCGGTCCAGCCATTTCAGAGATTAGCCGGAACAAACAGACAGGCAGACAGACAACAATTGTAAAAAAATGTTATTTTGGTGTATGTACCGTATATATATTCATACAAGCTCTATAACGCGATTTTTAAGCAAATGTGTTAAAAAAAACAGCTGGATAGGCATAATTGGCCAACTAACTTATCTGAAAGGAGGAGGAGCTCGATGGCGCAACTGGTTAGCGCGTTCGGCTGCGATCGTTGAAGTTAAGCAACTTTCGCAGTGGTCAGTCATTGGATGGGTGACCAAAAATTTACTATCTCGAGCTCCTCCGTGCTTCGGAAGGCACGTTAAGCCGTTGGTCCCGGTTGCATCTGCAGTCGTTAGCACCCACCAATCCGCACTGGGCCCGCGTGGTGGGTCATGGCCCAATCTCCCTATTCCATCCACAGGGAAGGCCTGTGCCCCAGCAGTGGGGACATTAATAGGCTGATGATGATGATGATGATGATGTGTTAAAAAAAACAGCTGGATGGGCATAATTGGCCAACTAACTTGTCTGAAAAAGATTGTATTGTTAGATTAATTTTTGAGCTGTTCCTAAAATAATATATTCATCCCAAATGGTATATCTACATATTTATTTAATAATAGATACAAATTATGTGTACTGAGATTGGTACTAAGTAGCGTAATAATATATAACCATAATAAGCAAACAAATCATTTTTGATCAATCGGGTAAAAATATCCACTTATCTATGCAAAGTAATATGATAATAATAATAATAATAAATATTTCCAATTAGCCTAACCCCAAAGTAAGCACTGTAAGGCTTGTGTTATGGGATACTAGGGTAATGGATAGAATACATACAGGATGGTCCAATTAGTGACGTCAACATTTTTTTTTAGATTCTTCGCCCTATGTATGTTCCACTATTTTTCTTAGTTTTCAAGTTATATTTTTTTTGTGTATTTTTAATGATTTCAGCCAGCGAGGTTTAAAAAATTCATATCTTTTTTCGTAGTAAATATTATGCAGTCCTTTTTTTTTGTTTTTTTTGTGACATAATTGTCTTGAATGTTGTTTTAATAAAAAAATTAACAGCTTTCTGAAATTACTTACAGTTACTCAAAAAAGGCTTGAAAGTTGGAACTTTAATTTTTAGTAGGATTTACTCAAACATTTAACTTCAATTTAAATATACAAAAAGGAGTTTCTATACCTTCTGGCTAAGTTTAAAAACTCCGCAAGCCTCTAAACTACCAAAAATCATAATAAAAAGTACTTAATCAGCCTATAGAGTTTTAATTGGCCTTTGAAGGCGGATAGGCTAAAAATCATTGAAACACTATTAAAGCATTAAAAACTTTTTAATCTACATTTTATCATTGGTATGGTAAATCAAACTTAAAAATGAAATTAAATTTAATTGGAATTCCTTAGCATATGTAATTTTATAATAATTTTGGTTTCATCACTAAGATTTTAAAAGCGAGCAAGAATAAAAATCAAAAAGGCTAGTTGAAAATTATCTGCTTTTCATAACAAATAAAAAACACAAATTACTGAAAAATGACTATTTAGTACAGTGCGTGGTGCGAGGAATCCCCCAGGTGCGAAGAATCTAAAAAAAAATTGTTGACGTCACTATTTGGACCATCCTGTATATTGTACCTATATAAGTATATTTATATAGAAATACGAAATAAACATACATGACTGGACTACAAATGCTTTGTATTCATCACACAAACATCTGCCCCCACCGGGATTCGAACCCGGGACCTTCCGAGCTGGCGACACCATGAAACACGGAGGTCGTCATATAAATATAATATATAATTAGTTTTCGTAACAGCTCTTTCTGTTGATATGCAAGTTACTATTTTCAATGGAATTTTCCAACTGCCTCGTAAAATCCCAAACGGTAATAATTTGATTAGTGGGAAAGATTACGCAGCAAGTTTTTATAGCTTTAATTAAGACCAGCGAACGACAAAATAAGTACACTTCTATTTTTAAAAATTGTCCATGAAACTGAAATAAATGGCTACTCAGATATAAAGCATATTAATTCAAAAATGAATGAAAAATTATCCGAAAGAAAGAAAGAAGAAAGAAAATACATTTATTTTGACACAAACAACGAGACAGTAGATACAAGATTTTGAGCAACAAAAAAATACAAGAAAAAGAAAAAATATCGTAAACAATAGGATAACAATACAAAAAAGTAACACACACAATTTTTGATAACTGTCGTTACCATGGTGATTTATTCTGTTGCTATCTCGCGGCTGCGCCAAAACAGGTTGTCAATTCAGCGTGTTGTCAGGTTTGTGGGACCTGACGCTGATTTTCATTTTGACACCTATGGTTCTTTTGACAACTGACTATCGGAAAAAAAGAAATATAAGAAAAAAAAAAACAGAAACACATACTCCTAAAATTATTATATAAATACAATTTATCATTAATATCACTTTCAATATTATCATAAATAAATTAGATACGTATCAAATGTATTTTATTCAATTATGATAATTCATTATTTCGCTTACTCACGCCGTAACTTGAGGACTACCAATTTCTTCCATATTTTTTTTTCTAATAACAATTTGTAGAAGATTCATTCTTTGAATAACACTCGACATGCTAGAGTTGAATGAAAACAAAATTGAGGCGGTGCAATAAAAAAATCATTTAAAAATATTGCGGAAGTACATATTTAATTCTCAAGACACACGATTTATATATGAGTGATGCGTGCGTGCGGCGGAGCTCAACGGCGCAAGTGGTTAGCGCGTTCGGCTGCGATCGTTGAAGTTAAGGTACTTTCGCAGTGGTCGGTCATTGGATGGGTGACCAAAAATTTATTATCTCCTCCGTGCTTCTGAAGGCACGTTAAACCGTTGGTCCCGGCTGCATTTCAGTCGTCAGCATCCACCAATCCGCATTGGGCCCGCTTGGTGGGTCATTCATAACCCAATCTCCCATCCATCCATCCATTTCATCCATTCCATCCATCCATTCCATCCATTCCGTCCATTCCGTTCATTCCGTCCATTCCGTCCATTCCGTCCATTCCGTCCATTCCGTCCATTCCGTCCATTCCGTCCATTCCATCCATTCCGTCCATTCCATCCATTCCGTCCATTCCGTCCATTCCGTCCATTCCGTCCATTCCGTCCATTCCGTCCATTCTGTCCGTTCATTCCATCCATTCCATTCATTCCATCCATTCCATTCACTCCATCCATTCCATCCATAGGGAAGGCCTATGCCCCAGTAGTGGGAACATTAATAGGCTAATGATGATGCGTGCGCTGCTCCATTCCCCTATGCCTTATGCACCGCCTAATGTTAGGTTATTTAAGGAAAGAAGATTCACTTCAGATGTGTAGTTCGTGCACACAATTTTTTTAAACCACCAATACAAAGACATATAATCACCGATTTAACTAAAAAACAGTGTGAAGTTTAACCAAAACAAAATTGCGTAATATTCATCAGCTATTTTTAGCTCGGCAGCATTGTTTGGGTACCTAGCACAACCATACCTAGAAGGCTGGTATTGATTTTCACCGACCCACACGGACTACGGACAACGCCGTAGCGTGGGCGTTACGGCTGTATGCGATAAACTGTCTGTGCACTTTAAAATGCAATTACTGTTAAAAGGGGCTTTTATCTCCTATCTTTCTTTATCTAAATATAAGGCTTTTGGTATTACTGTAAAAAGGCCTTTTGATCTCATATTTTTTTTTGTCTAAATATAGGGTTTTGGTACTACTGTAAAAAGGCCTTTTGATCTCCTATTTTTTTGTGTCTAAATATAGGCTTTTGGTACTACTGTAAAAAGGCCTTTTGATCTCCTATTTTTTGTGTCTAAATATAGGCTTTTGGTACTACTGTAAAAAGGCCTTTTGATCTCCTATTTTTTATGTCTAAATATAGGCTTTTGGTACTACTGTAAAAGGGCCTTATCTCATATCTTTAGTTTTTATCGTATTCTGAATACAGGGTTTTGGTGAAGGGCAAACGGTAATTCGAAAAGTTTTATCTTATGTGGATCTATTTGAAGTGTTAGTGAGCTGGTTTAATGGGCAATTACGTAAATTGAACAATTTGCAAACGCCATTCTTCGGATGGGTGATTGATTTTTTTTTATTACTGTCTCTGAAAGTTGAAAGTATTTACATTACTGAAAATGCGGTAAATATATATACGATTCACCTCAATGTGAGGTAAGAACATTTACAATCAGTAAGATATTTATAACTAAAAACCTTAAAATATATAATAACTAAAAATATATAATAATTATTAAAAGGAGTCCCTTTAGGCAAGGTTCCAAAGATACTGGCAGCATTCTGCCTTTGAATAGCTAGACTAATTATTTGTCCGAGGTAGCTGCCAGCTCTTCGGTCTCCAATGATGTCGACCAACCTTTTTGCTATTTCAAAACTTCTTATTATTGTTATTCTTATTATTTATTTATTTCCTTCTCATTTACAATCTATATTTATTTCTTAAGTTTTCACACAAAACAGCGTGTATATATTTTTATTTTTTTGACGTTTCGGGCCCTTTGCAGTTTGACATCTAACTTACACGCTTAGCTTGCCCATATGCTAATACCCTAGCAGTGCAGCAGTTTACAGTATGTAGAATGTTCACGGGTTCATTTGCGCGGTTTCGATATAAATCCACGCGGATCCGCTGCTCGTCTGAGTTTCTCGTATAATAAGATTCTATTATTTTCTTCAACTAACTTCGAATAAATAAAATATTCAAGTAGCTGGCAACTTTTTAGTTTCGAGTAAGAAGCATTACTACACCTAGAGTTGATATGATAAAAAGATGTTAATATAAACTTTATGAACCTAAGAAACAAATATAAACTTTATTTTAAAAACTGATACTAAGCTTTGATGAAATAATTGATACATGAGTGTGGGTATGTAACGATGAATAATTATATTTTTTTACACAATTAGGTATGAAAGTGATCACTTCGAGAGATGTCCACTTAATTATTACACCTAAGGTTACTTCAAATTACTTTCGCACTAAGGTTTCTTAATCTTTGTGTCACAAAACCAAGACGGCCCATACCTTTCGGTACCGAACGTTAATGCCCAAGACCTGTACGATCAGCCAATTTGATTCCTGACTCAATAAAAGCTTATTTTGTGACAACCAATTCTAAACAATAAACATTGAACATTGGCATCGCAATACATTTATGAATATATAATTATGAAAAAACTATGACGCATTGCAAGAAAAAGTCAAACCCATAACTTTAACACGAGATTTAAGAACAAGCTTGCTTGTTCCATGTTTCAGACTCCAAAAATCAAGAGGTTCATTTCTGGGATGTAGTATTGCATTGTTTAACAAAGCTCCCCAAGATCTGATTGAGCTTCCACTAACCAAATTTAAATCTCAGATCAAGAATACTCTTATGAATAAGGGTTATTACAAAGTTAATGATTATCTAAATGATCGTAATGTATGGACATAGTGTTTCTTGTAATTTGTTAATTTAGAGTATCTCTGAAGCCATTTTTCAACTTGACGACTCTGTATATATCAATACAGGGAGAAAAAAAGCAGCCCTTGCAGAGTTTCTTGCCGGTTCTTCTCAGTACAAGGTCTCCAGTCGTAGTTTTGCGATCCGATGGCGTAGCTTCTTGACCTTCACAAGTGCTTGTAAGAGCCTAGATTGAATAAATGACTTTTCATTTCATTTTATTTCATAAAATAGATTTTTGCTTATGCACGAGTACGTAACTTTGGAAACAAACTTCTTATTTTGTGAACAATCATATTTGACGTCACTGATTTTGCCGCCTGCCTATGACATAATTTTGATATTAAATTATTCGCAGTTTTGCCCATGTACTAAGGATTTCCCTATTAGTTTCCAACGCTTTTTATAATGTCAAGAAATCGAAAGAGTTTCCGTAACAACTATAATTTTTAGAGTGACTTCATATAAAGGTCAAATTTCAAATATCTATGATTCATATTACCACAGTTTCCTAGTTATTAGATGGTCCTAAGTGCAATCACGCATTCTCTACAAAGGAACTGTTTTAACTTTTTAAGCTAATAATCGAACAAGTGGATTAGGAATCAGTTGGTTCGATCGTACATACCAGCATATATTAGCTCTAGGACTTAGAGCAAAATTGCAAATGTCATCAATGTCAGGCCATGGCATTTATTGTTTTAATGATTTATGATGATATGTTTTTCTATGTATTGTTATTATTATTATTTTTTTATGTATTATAAAATTTAAGAAAATATTACTAAAAAAAATTCCACGCGGACCAGGCAGCAGACGGGACTCGAACCCGCATCTTTCGCTATCCGGGCGAATGCACTGACCAAGTATGCTACCGCGGCCCTGACGGCCGTGTCGAATTGTTTCTAGCCTTTCTTAAGCTGCAAGGCAGCGCCATCTCTTCACATTGTAGGTAACCCACAATGTGGATTTTTTTCTAGTAATGTTATCTTTAGATTTAAACATCGAGCAGTTACATGCTTAAAAAAATCGGTTGTCTGTAAAGTCGGTTTACTGACGATAGTTGAACGTGACAACGTTTTTTTACATTGTACATAGTTTTCACAAGTATGAATGTGCTGTGAGCAATGTTTTTACAACTTTTAAACATGTGTGATATCATTACCTTTATCGCCGCAATTATCGTTGCTTTAAACTATTGACTTCACTGCACTTCATACTTGACGAAAACATGTAAATGTATTATTGTATAGCAGCTGTCCACGCGGACGCATCGCTCACTCAAGTAGGAGAGAGACAGACCGAACGCGGAGGCCGATTGTGCCTCTTTGTCGCTAGTTCCGCGCTCTCGCTTGCACTTCAAGCCTTAAATGGAATGCCTCAGAGCGAGGTAACGCCGCATGAGTCATGTTTTTTCGTGCGTACAGCCGGCTCCATCGAATTATAAGACGTTGTCACATCAATAAAAGTAGAATTCTAATTATTATAAAATTGTCAACAGGTGCGTTCCTCATACCGTTCATGATAATGTTGGTCCTGGAGGGTATACCGTTGTTCCTGATCGAGATGGCGATCGGCCAGAAGATGCGGCTGGGCTCCCTGGGCGTCTGGAACACCATCCACCCCTGGCTGGGCGGCATCGGCATCTCCAGCTGCATGGTCACTCTGTTCGTGGCACTGTACTATAATGTCATCATCACCTGGGTGTTTTTCTACCTCTTTAACAGCATCAGAGTAAGTTGGTCTGAATAAGTTGTCTGTATAATCTTATATTAAAACAAAGAAAGAAAGAAAGAAAGAAAATACATTTATTTTGACACAAACAACGAGACAGCAGATACAAGATTTTGAGAACAAAAAATACAAGAAAAAGAAAAATTATCGTAAACAAACAACACAAAAAAGTAACACACACTAATAACTAATAATAACTGTCGTTACAACTATGATTTATACTGTTGCTATCTCGCGGCTGCGCCAAAACAGGTTGTCAATTCAGCATGTTGTCAGGTTTGTGGGATCTGACGCTGATTTTCAATTGACACCTATAGTTCTCTCGACAACTGACTATCGGCATAACAATATAAGAGAAAAAAAAACAAAAAAACAGAAACACATACTCGCAAAATTATTTAGAAACAATATATCATCTATATCACAATATATCATCTAAAACAAAAAGGGCAGATACGGCATTCGCGGCTCAAAAGTGATCCGCTTAAATTGTGGTCCACGACCATCGCTTTAGTCACAATTTGACATTCAAAGACGCTGCATGTACACTCAATATAACAAAATTGTGTATATTCTGTGTTATGAAGATATAACAATGCCTTCGATGCTTTTATAAAGAACACAAATAGTTCAAAATCAAACACTTTTCATTCGTAAAACTGTGAAATTTTTTTTCTCAAAAATCACGGTTTATCGTGAATATTATTTAGATAATCGCCATTTTGTAAACAGTAAAAGGACAACAATACGCTGCGTTAAATCGTATAGTTCTGTCTCGCTCGCTCGATTGATGTTTATATACAGACGTGTGCGTGGCGAGAGTTGCTTATGTAGTTGAGTCGGATCATATTTTATTTGATGCTAGTAAGAGTACCATATCTACCCTTTTTGTTTTAATCTAAGTGTATAATTTATTTTTAAAAGTGAATCTTTCGAAATTGCTGTGGATTTAGTTCTTGAATAAACTAAATAACTCTGTTTGAAATGTTCGTCAGTTCAGGGTATAGGCGTAGAACAACAGGGCCGACACGGATAGGACGGAAGTAAGCATACATGGCTTTTCCCCTCTGTCACATTGGGCATACTCACGATGTACGTGTGCACGATTTGGCGGTGTATTGTGACATTTCTTATGTGTATCACACACAGTAGCTACAGTTTTGTTTCTTAAGCATGTACGTTAAACTGTATTTGTGTGTGTTTTCCCCTTGCAAAAAATGACAGAATGATTTGGATAGTATTATGTCGCTATGGCTACTCCCTGCCGTGTTGCTCTATGATCAGTACCCATAGCGATGTAATACTTTTCAAAAAAGATTTCAAATTATATTGTAATTTTTTTTAGGGAATATGCACACAAATGTAATAATAATATTTTTTTTTTATTTGCCTAAACATTATTACATAGTTAAATCATAACAATTGTTTTCTTGATGCCTAATAACAGCGACAACTACTTAAAACCAAAAATACAATAAAATAGCACTTACAATACACAAGTATCTAAACTAGGCATAGCCTGTATTAAAGATACTAGTACCTTTCAAAATTGACTAAATTAACATTGAAAGGATTTCATCAATAATATTTTGAATTTTTTTGTGCTTATGGATTATGCAAGAATTTCTGGTAATTTTTTGTTTAAATCCAAGCTAAACTATGTAGATTTTCGTATTCGTGTAAAAAATTAAACTCTAACTACGACACTCACACAAACAATGACAATACACCGCCTCATCCTGCACACATGTATCGTTTGTCAACCCGACAGGTGGGAAAGCGTCGACCACGTTGATCTATGGTTCTGGGTCATTAACGTTGAATATAAATTATGAGCCCTTTTCCAAAATTGCGCCGCTGGATGCCGTACTGATCGGCGCGTAGGTAGATTTGCATTTTACGGGTGATGTTTCGAGTCTTATAAAATAATTATTAATGAACTAATTATAAAAATATATACATATTTCAGTAGTTCAATGCTGGTAGATTAGTTTTATGAAAGTTTTTGATAGTAATCTCTTATCTATTAGACAAGTCCGTCTGTCTGCGGTGCTGTTTCAGCGACCAAACCGTAAGAGATAGATAAAGAGAACATTTAAGTTATAAGTTAAGAATAGTCTGATAAGACTACAAACCGGATTTGAGTAACGTAGCACTTCCGGTTTTCGAGAAATCACGAATTTCAAACGAAACCACAAAAAATCTCCGAAGTTCTCAATTAATTAAATACATTTTTTTTATTAATCAGGTTTTGGTGAACATTTGGTTCACTGGTTTGCTAGTTATATTATAGTAAACACTGGTGATATACAAACTATATAGAGATTATAATTTTTATTATTTTAAAGCATGTAACTGCTTGATGTTTAAATCTAAAGAGCATATTATCGGTTTTGCCGTAAACTAGCTGCGGTAGAACGATCAGTAAAAAAAAGGAAAATAGTATTTGCAAATATTCTACATTAACTTACAATAGGAAGAATAAATCTACTGTTTACTTCTATTGGCAATAGTCAAAATCTTACCTAAGGGGGTAAAGAAGGCGCCTAAAAATTACATTTTTTTGCAAAAAAAGTGAAAGGGCTCTCAAATATTGTTCTTTAACAGCTAACAGCTGACCAGTTGCCGTGGTCTCACTGTCCCCAAGACAACGGCACGGCGGAAGAGGAGTGCACCAAGGCCAGCGCCACCGTCTACTTCTGGTACCGGGAGGCTCTGGACGCGGCGCCCAGCATCGAGGAGCCAGGTGACAATCAGCGTTGCGCTTAATGTAGCAATCACTTAAATTATAGTAATATAAGTTATTTACGGGATTGTTAACATGTACCTTGTTTTTAGCGAGTTTCCGATATTTCGGCACTGTTGCAAGCGCTGTGATCACGGAGTAAATAACATCTCTTATCTATTAGACAAGTCCGTCTGTCTGTGGTGCTGTTTCAGCGGCCAAACCGTAAGAGATAGATAAAGAGAATATTTAAGTTATAAGTTAAGAATAGTCTGATAAGACTACAAACCGGATTTGAGTAACGTAGCACTTCCGGTTTTCGAGAAATCAGGTTTTGTTGAACATTTGGTTCACTGGTTTGCTAGTATTACTATAATGTTAGTGACCATGAAAGTTTAAAACAATATATAATCACTAAACCGTTCCTGTATTCAACTTTTGACTTGTTTCAAGTTTGCGATGTACTTACAGTACGACAACTGTTTTTACTAAATATAGTTCTCAGGCTGTTGTTGTTCAAGGCATGTTTGCCTTGCTTACCTTTGACGCGAGTAGCACAATTCTTTCTTCGCGGCGAAAATATGCAGTATGTCGTACACAGAGGACACGTACGAAATTCAGTCACAGGTTTTTTAAATTATTAGGTCCCTATTTATACAATCAAATTAATAAACTGTTGAATATTTACCCATTACCCAGGTTAGTATGTAAAGAAGTTATCTATAGGTGGCTTCAAGCAATGTCTTATGAAGAAACCGAAAATTTTATAAATATACTAACTTGAATAATTCAAACAGATACATACACGTATGCTACAAATACTAAATAAATCCGCACTTAAACACATATACACAAACACACACACACACACACACACACACATACACATACACCCACACATCATTTTCATACATTACATATTAATTCAGAAGCTTAAAAAATGGAGTAACTTCTTCCGTTTTCCCAACATTTCCCTTCACTACTCTGCTCCTATTGATTGTAGCGTGATGAAAAGTATACTATAACCTGCCCAGGAGTATGAAGAATAATTGTACCAAGTTTGGTTAAAATCCGTCGAGTAGTTTTTGTTTCTATAAGGAACATACATACAGACAGGCAGACAGACAGACAGACAAAAAATTTACTGATTGCATTTTTGGCATCAGTATCGATCACTAATCACCCCCTGATACTTATTTTGAAAATATATTTCATGTACAGAATTGACCTCTCTACAGATTTATTATAAGTTTAGATAAGCTTGGCACAAGCGGGTGTCCTTGTATGAAGTCTCCAGTGGAGCTGTTCCACGGCTGTAACACATGCTGAGCTGGTCAATCCTTTTAGCTATTTACTGATTTTAGGTTTCTGTTCACATTTAAGAAATATGCATGATGAATCACCGAATAAATATTACCTTTTCTTTACAGGTGTACCGCGCTGGTGGATTGTCCTGTACCTGCTGCTTGCTTGGGTCATCGTCTTCTTCATCGTCATGAAAGGCATACAGAGCAGTGGCAAGGTAAGTTTTCTCTCGACCTTGGCAGGTTAGAAAGGTAAAATAAGATATCTGCCGATGTCAGCATTAATCCTCGAACGTATTGCCTACAGGTCGTGTACTTCACCTCCCTGTTTCCTTACGTGGTCCTCACAATCTTCTTCATCAGAGGAATCACTTTGCCTGGCTCCGCTGATGGTATTATCCACATGTACAAGCCGAAGGTGAGATCTCAATTTAATATCGTATTCTTTAAAAGGTAAATACTACTAAAAATATGAGAAACGATTCCAGAAATATCTCTGTGATCATCGGTGGATCATTCATTAATAGGTAGAATTTTGAAAATTGTCCATCCACCTGTTAGTTGTATTCTGGCACATAAAACTTTACTATACTTCCGTCTAAGATGTTCACAGAAAGAAGCCGTGTTTTGGTTATAAATACTCATATTCATCATACACAAAAATTTGCCATACCGAGCTTCGCACTTAAGGCCTTAAGTAGGCGACATCTTAAAATCCGGTGTTGATACCGCTCCATCAGATTGTCCATGGAGTATTTTATGTAATGACATCAATGTTACTCGAAACAAATGAATTGGCACTGCATTAAGTTGACAGTGTTTCCCTCTCAGCTCGAGAAACTCCTATAACCATCCGTATAGTTAGACGCAGCCACTCAGGCGTTCTACTAATTCACGCTCGCTTTTGGTTTTGATCGCGTTCGAGTCGTATAGCCCTCGTATTTATCATACAAACATTTGCTTCACCGGGATTCGAAGTTAGGACGAAAAACTCCATCGGCGATCACCACAGAAGTCATCAATGGCTTTTTTAATGTGATGAATAATAATTATCCTTATTTTTCGAAATAATTTAAATCAAAATCAGCTGTATTTTTTTCCCTATCAGACACTTTTATTCTTTCCCCTAGCTCGAAAAACTTCGCTTACCAACCATATGGCTAGATAAAGGATAACAAAATGACCCTTGTTGCGAGAAACCTCTTTCTGTATTCTGTGCTTGAAACAAATGAATTCGAATTAAACTGTCATATTTTCCCACCTCGAGAAACTCGTACAACCCTCCTATTCTTCATACAAACATTTGCCCACCACTCACCAGGATGCGAACTCAGGACTTCTGAGTGTCGACACTTCGAAAACCGATGAACTTTCAAATCATGTCATTCGGATCATAACATTCAATATCTGTTCTATCAATCCAATGTTACGTTAACTTTTTAATCTATCTAATTTTCATGATAACCACCCTATCGCGTCTCCATCTCTTCAACCTTCTACTCGCTAGTTCATCACTGGAGTAATTAATGTAATGATTTTAAAATCCTTTTAGTACGAAACAGATGTATTCAAATGGAGAATGCGTCACACCGACATTCTAATGTAAAAACAAAAAGAAGATTAATTTAATTAAAGACCAGGCTGTATGGGCATTGTTCCCTTTGCCTTCCCTAAAACGGGAGAACTTCAACAAAAAAAATGAATTCAAATGGAATTCATCTGATATTTATTACCCCTCAGCTCGAGAAACTTCTCCAACCAACTGTATGGCTGGACGCGGCCACTCAAGTGTTCTACTCGTTCGGCCTCGCGTTCGGTTCGCTGATCGCGTTCGGCTCATACAACCCGCCGAACAACAACTGCGTGAGGGACGTGCTGCTCGTGTCGGTGTGTAACGCGCTCACCGCTATCTACGCGTCCGTCGTCATTTTCAGCATTCTCGGCTTCAAGGCGTATACCATGACGGAGAGCTGCATCACCAAGTGAGTAAATGTTTCATTATCTTAACCCCACAATGCCTATTGTGATGCCAAATAATGTAATGGAAGGTGACTTCAGAAGTATCTCTGAAGTCATTTTTCAACTTGACGACTCTGTATATATCAATACAGGGAGAAAAAAGCAGCCCTTGCTGAGTTTCTTGCCGGTTCTTCTCAGTAGAAGGTCTCCCGCCGTAGTTTTGCGAACCGATGGCGTAGCTTCTTGACCTTCACAAGTGCTTGTAACAGCCTAGACTGAATAAATGACTTTTCATTTCATTTCATTTAATTGATTTACAGGGAACATAGACAAAGAATGACGACTAGTAAAAATATGATTATTTCAGCCCCACGACGGACGTAAATCACTTTGTAGAGATCATCCCCAAGGACTATTATTATTAAGAAGTAGATTGTAGCAATCCCGCTGATTATTATAATATTCATCATCAGCCTATTAATGTCCCCACTGCTAGGGCACAAGCCTTCCCTATGGATGGAATAGGCAGATAGGTCATGACCCACCACGCGGGCCCAATGCGGATTGGCGGGTGCTCACGACTGCAGATGCAGCCGTAACCAACGGCTTAACGTGCCTTCCGAAGCACAGAGGAACTCAAGATAGAAGATTTTTGGTCACCCATCCAATGACCGACCACTACGAAAGTTGCTTAAATTCAACGATCGCAGCCGAACGCGCTAACCACTTGCGCCATCGAGCTCCTCCATTCATTCATTCATCATTCATTATAATATTAGTTACAATAAAAGATTACAGTATTTTTTGGATGTATCTAAAAAGCTGTAACTAGATACCTTAATATTTTTATTTTTCGGCCCCTCCCGTTACAAATGAGATAGAAAAAGGGTCATCAGTAGTCTTAGGTGAGTAATGAAGACTCGTACAACCCGCCAACAACAACAACTTCAACATATTAGGCTTAAAGGCTTATACAATGCCGGAGAACTGCATCACCAAGAGAGTTTAAAATTATAAACTTTGGCATTTGGTGTTTGATAGGTATCTCAATAGAAGCACTTTTAACAATAATCTCTTTGTTCAGACACAAATACACGCGTACGCTCACAAGTACGCGCATGCCTGTGCGCACACACACATACACATACACTCATACACCCACATGCAAGTGTGCATACGCACAGACAAAAACATCGACTTGAAGAAATATTGTGAAAAAAATGTTTTTTTGTGCTACTTTTTAGAGATCAATATTTATTAAAATATTAAAAATTAAAATAATTAATTCAATATACCATGTCTTTTAGCACGGAGAGCGGGAATTTCTAATGCAAGTACACACATCAAAAGTGTCTAGGGATCAAGCATTTTTATGCGGATTTCTTGAGATTGAGATGTGGCTTTGTAATAAACTTATGATTTTATAAATTTATATGGATCCTTTTTGGTGCATTTCATAATTTGAATCAGGAACTGTGAATCAAATTCGAGTAAAAGATGAAAATCAGCTGTCAATATTTTCCCTATAAAAACATACAACGCATTGAAGACATTATTAGTGCTACTGTTTCCCTACTACTGATTAAAACCAACGTTATTATGGAGCGGCGACGTCATTTAAGCAGGGAAGAAATGCTCAGAGCCGTGGGAATGATAGAAGCTGGTTCCCGGCAACGTACTGTGGCTTTAGCTCTGAATACAAGTCAGAGTGTTATCAGTCGACTTTGGACACGATACCGAAGCACTGGTACCGTGGCTGAGCGCCATGGATGACGGTATCGCTGCACCACACGGAGACAAGACCGATATATTCAAATCTTAACTCGAAGAGCTCCAACAATAACCGCCATGATGTTAGCCGTGAGGCTTCATCACTCTTCAGGGAACTTAATTAGCGACCAAACAGTCAGAAACCGCTTGCATGAAGTGAACCTTCATTCCCGAAGACCGCTACGGGTACCACCTATAGCAATGCACAATCGTAGGATTCGATATCAATGGGCTCTTGAACACAGAAATTGGGCAGAAGAACAATGGCGTTTCGTGTACTTTTCTGATGAGTCTCGTTTTGGTATGAGACCGGATACAAGACGTATACGACACTGGAGAACCCCTGGACGCCAACAGCGATTAAAATCCTGCCAGGAAGTCCATCCTTATAGTGGTGGAACCATCATGGTATGGGCGGGTATTTGGATCGGCGGAAGAACTGAGTTGATTTGGATCAGAGGCAACCTCAACGCTCAAATTTATGCTGAGACGATTGTATCAGACGTCATCGTTCCTCTACAAGTGCAAATCGGTCCCTTATTTCAGTTAATGCATGATAATGCACGACCGCACACCGCAAGAGTTGTAAGACAGTCTCTCGCCGCAGCTAACATCAATGTCCTGCCCTGGCCTGCTCAGTCGCCAGACTTGAACCCGATTGAGCATGCATGGGATATGCTACAGAGAAGAGCTCTGCCGAATATGGAGGGTATCCAGTCGCAAGAAGACCTTTTTTTGTTGTTGCAACGAACATGGGCGGCCATTCCACAGCGTGATTTGGATGAACTCATTTTGAGTATGCCAAACCGATGTTCTTGTGTTGTTAGTGTTCGCGGTAGAAATACGGATTATTAATTGTTTAAGTTACCCAATAAAATTTTAGAGAAAACTGTTATTTCAGTCTTTTTTTCGAACTTTTGTGTTAGTGGTTCAAATGTCAAAAATCCCTTTATTAGGAAAATGGCAAATTTCTTTATTAATGCAAAGGTGACTTGGTTTATCGTTACTGTGACAAACGAAAACACTTTATTTGATGAATCCTTAAAGAAAATTTTAATTAATATCAATCAGGAGAAAAGTTATTGCAAAAATATATGTTGATCCCTAGACACTTTTGATGTGTGTATATATTTACTTAAAAGTCATTTCCAATCGCAATACAGTATAGTTTATTATTGCATCAAATAAAGAATTTGTATGATTGATGTCAGTTACTTGCAAAATCCAATCCCAAAGATTAGTATCTTGCAAAAGACAAGGTAGATGATAATAAACACTAATTACTATAATAAACAGAACATCTCTGACAACTTCACAAGATACGTATTTCATTGTTGGACTACCTCTTCAACATATATCATCTCCAGCATACTCGGCTTTAAGGCCTATACTATGACGGAGAATCGCATCACTAAGAGAGTAAATGGTGCCAATTCGGTGATTCTCTAAACTTAAAACTAAATTTAACATCAGTCTCTCCTTTTCATTCTATATAGAGAATGACAAGGATATACTGCTGTCAAATTTAAGTTTAGGTTTAGAGAATCATGCTAGAATCGACACCAATATCTCATTATTTTAGCCGTACGATGCCCAATGATTTGCAGAGTCCTCCCCAAAAACTAACAAAAAACAAGGTTGGTGGTAGCAACCTCGCTAATTCCTATAATGTTAGTGGCAATGAAAATTTTAAACAATACATCCTCGAGGACTTAACAGGAAACGATAAAGCCATCCGCAAAGACTGAAAACTCGCGAAAATTAATATTAAAATCTTAACGACAACGAAAGATTTAAACAATATATCCCCAAAAACTTCTATAAAACTACTTTCATTGTTGGACCGCTTGCTTTACGACATAAACTAGAAGAAGAGTTATACTAGGTATTAATGACTCCATATAATCTAGGCATTAGTAATCATACAACCCGCCGAACAACAACTTCGTGCGCGACATGCTACATGTTTATTATGTAAAGGAGATCCGGCACTTTTCATAGAAAAAATGCTAAACTTGTATACAGTTGAATTTGGTCTCAAAATAAAGCCAAAATTATTTGCTACATAAAACTACTTTTGCCTTATTTTTAGTGAATCGTGGAAAGAAGTTATATAATGATTAATATTTTTTGATATGGAAACCCTAAATCTTCAAGGGACAGAATTTTACTTCAAAATATTACTCAAGTGACTGTAAAAACCATGATTCCTTTGCTTTTTCTAAATAAAAACCAAATGTCAATTTGACAATCCTAAAATATAAACAAAAAAATCATTCGCATTTCGCATCCGCTCCCGCGTACTGTGATTGTGAATGTTCTCTGCTGTGATTGCCTTTTTATCCGTTATTTCTCTTGACGACCCGGCTATTTAAAGAGGTTTTATTGGCAAACCTACGTATTTGACATTGACAGCTAGCTGCTGATGACAAATATTGCCAGACTACGTTACCCAATTATGAAACACAGATAAAAAAATTAAAAAAGTATACAACTTTGGCACATAATGCCGGGTGTCCTTATATAACTGTAGCCATAGGTACGATGTCCATTAGTTTGCAGACACCATCTTTAAAGCCTGAGGACCAGGAAAAACCAAGGTAGGATGAAACAATTCCGCTGATTACATACACACAATGTTAGTGGCCGTGAAAATTCGAAACAATACATATTTGTTTCTTAGGTTTTCACGCACATCACTCATTAAATAAAACTAGTTTTTTACGGGTTAATGCACGAAACTTTATTTATTTATTGACGTTTCGTAGCCTTTACAGGCTACGTCGTAGAATCAAATTTTATTTAATTTTGTCGAGCTACCTTCGAAAGATTTTTTATTGAGCGCTCGGTTATTTCATTGTTCGATTTTTTTCATCAAAAACGTCTGATAAAGTTAGGACAACGTAGAGAAAGAGTTACTCGTAACAGCATACTCGACTCCAAAGCGAATACGATGACGAAGTGAGTATTTATATTTCATTCTAAGATGATGCCCATTGATTTACAGAAACCATCGCCAAAGCTCATCAAATCGGACTTGCAAAATATTATTATTTCAGCCGTCCAAAGCCATTCATTTATTTCTCACACTCGCAAAAACAAGGTAGCGGGTATTAGCTCGTGTAGCTTTTTATTAGGAAGAAGATGGCAGCGATCCCGTGAATACCCACTATTATGTTGGTGATCCTTAAAGTATACAACAATACGTCCCAAAAATCCAACCAATAAATCCCAAAAAGTAATTTCATTGTTG